CATGCATACATGCATACATGCATCAATGCATAATTGCATACATGCATACATGCATACATACATACATACATACATACAATCAATCAATCAATCAATCAATCAATCAATCAATCAATTTGGATAGCAGGAGTCCTCAGAGAGCATTCAGGCCAAGGAGTTCACGCAGATAGCGTTGCTGACAGTTGAGTCTTCTAAAACCAATTTTGAAGTGGAGACGGTCATGGGCTATGTATGAGTACTCTACTTTGGACTTCCCTTCAGAAATAGCATAAATACCCACGAATAATGCTTAGCTGAGATTCCACAGGGCTTGGGATTGAGGTTATCAGTGCCATTAGGGTTTGGAGATGCTTTCCCGGAAAACTCTAAGACAAATTGACTTGGGTCGCCAGGGATCTTCCTTCTGCAACAAGCTTGGTACAAGAAATGCTCAGAAGAAGTGCCGGTGCTTTTCCATTCCCAGAACTTCGGCAAGCTTCGACTTGAAGGTCTACTGTGAAGTCCAAGCCACGTGAGCCTCAAAGGCTTAATTAGAAGAGATACTATCAGAGATTTTCACGACGCGTATGGTAGTAGCATGCTCATGCTGCTGTGAGGTTGACAACTACTGTCCCTGCGGCTTCCTCCTTCTGCTGGGTACTACACTACCATCTGCTGCAGCACATATTATTGCCGCTACTACAACGGCCACTCCCACCACAACGCGACACGGACGATGAGATGGACGCGGACGAAGACCATGATCAGGAGGACGACAACAACAGGACAGCGATGACCATGATGATGGCTGATGCCATCACCTGCAGTACAATAAGCGTGTAATTTCTGAGAATACCTACGTCCATTACGCTTGCTGCTACCATTATCATTGGAACGCGCCTGCTTCGCCACGTAGTTCACTTCCCTGTCCAGCTCGAAGCCTCATGTGGCGAAGCTTCCCCAGGGGCGGACCGCTCTATGACAGGGGTGATAGGGTAACTTAGCGACTCTATATATATATATATATGCATATATGAGCGGCTATATAGGGCTATATAGCGGCTATAAAAGGAAAAAGACAATGGAACCGACATTGGAATCTTCAAGATTCTGCAAGAGCGTTTAGGCAAGAGCTGAGCATTGACAGAACCTGTCAGAAGAGACTCGCAATACGAAATTTGACATCCCAAAGTAATGCCCTGCATTACGCTTGAAGAGTTGAGAGTGCTGAGCATCTGACCAGCATAAGCCTCACAGGTCAGAGTCAGCCTGGCTAGCAGCGGGCGTGCGACCCGTAAACGTCTGATGGGCTTTGGGTACCAAAAGCAGTCGGCATGAATAACTTAACTAGACAAATCTTCTGATGTATCATATACCGTATTTTGGGGCACACATCGGAAGCATACAACAAGAATTACGTCGAGCTTACTTCCGGACCTGTTGGTTGGGGCTTCTCAAATGTTACGCGTATGAACTGCTTTCCACTCTTCTGCAGGAGCTACCCGCCGTCATTCTGTCTAGCTGCAGGCCACAGCTGCCCCGCGCACACCTTATATCATACAAAACTCAAACCTATGGCTATGTATGTCTTCTGCAGCAGCAGCTGCAGCCGCAGGCCATGCTATCTGCACGAATACTGGTTCCCCAGGAATGCGACAATTAATGCAAACCCCTGATTGAGAAAGCCCTGCTCCGTAAAGGCTCAATGAGCTATCCCAGTGAAAGGAAGCAATCCTATTCAGAATCATAATGATAATGGTATTAATACTAATAAAGCTAATAGTAATAATAGTGATAACAGACACAATAAGAATAATAATAGAAATAATAATAGCAATAATAATAAGAGGCAGCACTTACTCCAAAAGCTTGGCCCTCAACCCACAAGCAAAAACTTGCCACACTTTCTGAATCCTGGTTGCATCGACCCTAAACACCCAAACCTAAACACTGACCCCAAGACCAGAACCTTTTACACGGAAGGTCCCCAACCCCGAACCACAAAATAATAAAACCGTTTACTAGAAACACACCTAAACCCTAAGCCTCCATTACCCTCAACTCCTAATCCTAGACGCTCAACTACCACTATCACTATTCCAGCAGTATGACTTTTACTTGTACTAGATTATGCGATCGCTATCACTATTACACTATTATCACTGCTACTGCTGCTAAGTACGACTACTGTTGCTATTTTACTCTTGCTCTGGCTGATATTGCTGTTACCGTTATTTGTATTTCCTGCACCCTACACCCTACACTGTAAACTTGTTACTGCTACAGGTAATTACTACTACTGTTGCTATTACACTACTTACTTGCTCTTTCTACGCTTGGCGGCTCCAGCGCCTGAGGCGGCATTTGCCTGCAAGCGGAACTCGGAAGCGCACGCTGGCAACCACCTGTGCAATGGGGTGTAGGGTGTACCTTGGGCTTTGTTTCAAGTTGTTTAGGTTTCTAGTGGTTCAAGGGTTTCGACTGAATGCCTGCAAGATTGCCGTCAGCGCAATTTGCCTGCATGCTGAGTCGAGCTGAGTCCAAAAAATGGAGGCGGAGGTAACGGTGTAATTGCTGGAATCTCAACTGTGGAATTCGGCCATACTCTGCTAGGTGAGGTTCTGTGGCCAGAGCTTCTCCCAGCGCTGGGGCAAAGTTTGGTTCGGTTTGATAACTCAACTCGCAAGCCCACCAAAAACGGGCCCCACATACGCAGAGCTTCATGAGATCTGTCACAGACTTAAAGAATACAATGATCTGCCGGCCTCGCGGGAGATGTCGGAGATTCGCCTGCACCTCGGTGCCATGTTAGCACTGCTGGGTTCAAGCCACGGGCCCTTGGTACTCCAACAGGCGCAAGGTTTTGGGATACTACAAGGATTGCCAACCCCTTTCAGCGTATGTGTGTCAACATTTGGTGTAGTAACAGTACCAGGTTGATGCCACTCAAAACACAGAAGTGGGAGAGCGCCACGGGCGCAACGAACTGAGACGCGCTTTTGCCAGCTCACATTTCCAAAGCTTCAGAACCCCTTCTGTTTTGCATCCTTGCATAAAGCTCTAGGTGATGGGTAATACGGAGCAAAATCTGCGTACAAAGGTATACTGCGAACAATGCACAAACGTAAAATCAAGAATTTTCAAAAATAACAGACCCCGCTAAAACTGTCCGAACGACTGCATCTCGTGCAGTCTAAATTTGGGAAACCCCCATATCCCTGTAAAAAACCCATCTGAGCTTTCTGGCACGCTTGTCCCACTCTTGCCCTTCCCGGGCAGTCGAAAGGTGAGCCACCAAGCTTCCGGAACCTGCAGGTCTTAAAAATGTAGGGGTTATATCAGGGTTTAATAAGGTTTATGGGTTATATGAGGGTGGAAATAAACTGGAAACTACTATCTAGGGTTGAGGGTTGAGGGATTTGGACCATACATCTTCCTAAACACTCATGGTCAAGTAAAAAAAATTGGAAATGAATGGAGCTTATCAACATAGGGGATACGTGGATTTGAGGAGATTACACAGGAATATACCCCCAATAATGGAGAATCAAATGGAAAACGACATGGAAACTGAAGTGGACACTAAGGGCCTATAGGGATACATAGATGTATATATATATGCTCATCCCCCCAAGGACCCCATCTATATATACATATATATAGTTTGGGATTGATCGGGCTCGGAGTTTGGGATTGAAGGTTCAGGAATGATTACGAATGAAATGAAAACTGGTGTTTTGATAGGGAGATAGGGCTTTCCCAAAATTAAGGGTTCCCTTAAAGGGAGTTATAGAGTTTATATAGGGAAATATATGGTTTAGGGGTTTCCCGAAATTAGGGGTACCTTCTTGGGGTCCATATTGGGGCCTTCTATTCAGGGCAACTACCACACAGGATTCAGGCTTTAGCGCTTCGGGTCTCGAGTTTCTGATCAAGGGTTTAGGGTTGAGGGCTTCCCCCAACCCTACTGTGAAGGGTTTTTGACAAAAGTGAATGTCCTTGCTTGGGACCTTCAAACCTGAACAAGATGATTTTGATGTTTTGGCATAGATCAGGGGGTCTAACTTGTAGTCCCCCTAGACCTTTAATCAAAATTGGCTGTTTAATACTTCAACATTACTATAATGAAAAAAAACCAAAAAATCGCAAGGAGAGTACAATAACAGGGGTATATCAGGGCATTGAGCCACCACCAGGAAGGTCTGCTTTTGAAAGTGGAGGAGGCACCTAAACCCCAAAACCCCCAGTATTCGGGAGCCGATTCTGTTATTGCTCCTGCGTGTCTCATCATGCTCAGGTCGGAGTTGAAACGCCTGCCCGCACCAAAACCGACCATGATGCAGCTCTCAGCTTGGGATCATGTGGAACCTTTGCTGTTGATACTTGATTTCGCTTTATCACCATGGCGCAAAGCATACCATGATTCGCAACGTTTATGGTACTCACTGTATTGTAGTACCAACCGCAGAAGGCTTGTGTCTTCCTGCGCCCTGGGACCCACTTATCTATAACAGTGTGGGGCTTCTGGAGGTGTCCGGGCCCTCAGGATAAGAACTCACTACAGGGCTCCACCTAGGAGAACATGTCGGCTACTTGCCCCGAAGCCTAAAACCTGAACTTGGAAACCTGAATTTTAAACCCTGAACCCACTGGAGATTCTGAAAGCCAGCTCTTGGATTCTCAGTACCTGCATGTGCCACAAGAGATGCTGAGTTTTGGCTTGCTCTTGTGTTCGAAGCTTAGACTCTTGTTATATTTGTACACCTGCTTTGAAAATTGTTCCCAAAATCCAGAGAAGCCTGTAGTCATGTAGTCAGGAACCAATGTGGCAACAAAGACCCAAACATAGGGACCTGTAACAGTTTGCAACTAGGCTACATGATCCCAGTTTCCATTCCATTTCCACGTTCTTTTCCATGTGATTCTCCATTATTGTGGTAATATCCCTATATACCCCTAAATACCCGTTAAAGGGACCTAGGGTTTCCATTTCATTTTCCATCTGCTTTTCCATTGGATTCTCCATTCTTGGGGAAGAGTCTAAATTTGAAACTGCGCAAATCCCGATGTCGCGCAGCCTTTCCAGGAAACCGTGGGGCATGCGCGGCACCGATTGCCTGAAAGGATGAAAGAACTCATCAGCCAGGCTGTTGCGATCCCTCAGAATCCCCAATGATACTTACGGGGACTAGCTTGTGGTTCCGGGGGTACCTCTGTACTGAGGGCTCTGCGGGGGGAGCTTTTGAGAAACTCTCATATTTCCTGCATGCATACTGAGAATTGCACGAATAGGATTCTTGCCTGATACGAAGGCAGAGCATCAGTTCAGTCCTTCATGGGAGGAAGAATTTGGTGGAGGTTGGGCTGTTGTGATTGGAGAGGTGTGCGGAATCAGATTTGACGATCTTCCCAAGGCCTGAAAATTCACTATTTGCCTCTGCTACCTCTGGTTGGCAAGGAATCCCCAAAAAGAGCGTAGTTTCCATTGTCTTTTCCGTTCCTTCATTCCCTGCTAGCCAGCGGCAAATTAAGCCTTCACAGCAGTTCCATGTCATTGTCCATTTGATTCTTCACTATTACCCAAAATACCCCTATCTAACCCCGATATATATCCCCTATACATTGCCCATAGTTCCCCTATATGTCCCCTATGTAACCGCGACAGAACCGCGCCAAGGCAGGACAGCGACGCAGGCCTCTCCCTCACGCAAGTTGGCGCGTATCAACCTGGCGCCGAAGGGGGCAATCTACGGGGGTTATATAGGCTGAGACATTCACCACGGCGCAAGCACATCATGTCATCCTCTGGCCAGGGTTGACGCAAGGATGTGCTTTGCAAAGGCCGAACTCTGTTCTTCAACGACCGTAAGAAACCCCGAAGCTTGTTCCCATGGAGCCCTTACACAATCTCCCCAGTCCTAGGCCAGAAGCTACAGGGGTCCCTTGGCAAAGGATGCTCTAACCTAGACCAGGCCAGCAGCACTTGAGCTCCAGGGTGGCAATGTCACCGACGCAGATCTCTTCCTCGCCGTGCACGAAGACATGAGCGTCCTGCTGCGTCAAAATATAGTAGACAAGCCTTCCGTCGTCAGTATTAGTATCCCAGTGTAGGCCATCTGACAGTCAAAGTCAGAGAGCAACAGAGTCCCAGATCCTGTTTTGCGTGTAATGGTGCCTTATGGTCATGTGAACACGTTCCACTGCTCCAACTCGGCATGCCCCAGAATGGGTCCTTATGGAAACCCCTACCAAACGTGGGATCTCAAATGCAGGAACTGCCTAGTCAAGCTCCTGAATCTGCATGCGCGGGGCCACGGCCACGAACTCCTCAATGTCCTCTGCTTGCGCGTGTCAATGTCTGTCGTGAGCTGCAGTCCACTCCTCTTGGGTTGGCCTTTTCATCTTCCTCTAGTCAGACCCAGCATACGCCCCTGTCCGACCCCAAAAAATGAGACGTTCATTCTTGTAGGGCCCTTTCGAGGCTCCATGCTTGTTTGGAGAAGGGTACCTGACTCCTCAAAACTCCCTGCGAGCTTCGGTCCCGTCCCCTAATAACCTAATAATCCCCTCCCTAACAATCAACCTTCCCCACCCCCCCATAATGAATGTTCTCATTATGATGATGATGATGATGATGCTGATAATGGTGATGGTGATACTATGTTCCGAGCGTTCATCGGGTGGAGGGGAGTTCGCTGCCAGGGGAGGGGACGAATGAGTCGTCACTAGTATGCAAGGTCTCTGACAGGGAATCTTTGGATATTAGGAAGTGGTGAGGCGCGAAACCTGTGGGGAGGGGCGGAAGGATGAAGCCCTCTAAAGCCCTGTAATTCCCGAAAAATCCCCTGGAGACGCGAGAATGCCTCTGGGTCCAAGTCCGCGTCCCTGCAATCCCTTCAGTCAATGCTCCCGTATACGGCCTCAGAATAATCCCCGTACTATGCTCGCCGAACTTGGCTATGGAAGCTCTGGTGCATAAGATGGGGTGCATTATTTGGATAATTGAAAAGAAAACGGAAACTGCTACAATATAGTGGGGTATATAGGGATTATAGCAACAATAATCAGATGGGGAAAAACATTGCAGGCCATACTACCTCTAACGCCTAGAAAATCTGAACCAAACCCAAATCCTAGCCCAACCCTAAACCCTAAACCCTAAACCAATCCTAGAACCCAACCCTCAAAGCCAGCATCCCGAACACTTACTTACCGGACTTAGGCATTGCAATGCCATCCCCACAAGGTTGAGGGTTTTAGGTTTAGGGCTCAGGGTCCCAGATTTCCAATCCTAATAAGCCTTATGGTATTCTAATCACTTTCCCAAAATAGGGGGACCCCAATGTGGCCCCAAAATTCTATAGTCCTTCCGAAAAGGGAAGCCTGAAAAATCTAGCCCTAGTGTTGCGGGGGGGAAACCCTATAAACCCCTAAATCCCGATATATACCTAGATAACCCCTATGTGACGCTTTAAGGGAACCCCTTATTTTGGAACCCCCTCCACCCCCTACTGCCTTCGGTTAGCTAGGAATGAAGGAATGGATCCTTATAGTAGTCCCTATATCACCCGTTAGAAAAGTTTCCGTGTTCTTTTCCATTCCTTCTAAACCCTAAACCTTAAATCCATTATGGTAGTTTCCCATTTCTTTTCAATTCCTTCACTCCGAGCTAACCAAAGGTAACCTCTATATACCCCCATGTTCTTTTCCACCTTATCTATATAAATATATACATATATTATATACATGTACAAGTATATCCCTATATATACCCCTATATACCCCTAGATATCCCTATATATCCCTATATGGGTGGTTGTCAAAATTATGGTCCCTTTTTGGATCCCTAGTATGATACGGCACCTAATATTTTGGGTTTACCAAAAAGGGACCCTAATTTTGACAACCACCCAAATAATCCTCATATTATAATCCCTATAATCCCTGTAGTTTCCATTTTATTTTCCATTATCCCAATAAAACCCCAATATAACTCCTATATAATCCCAGTTTCCATTTCATTTTCCATTTGCTTTTCCATCTGATTCTCCATTATTACCCCCTTTAAAGGGCCAACCACCCATAACCCTAAACCCTAAACCCAAGGCTCCCCATAATTTTGACAACCACCCATATACCCCTTTAAAGGGCCCCTGAGTAGGGGCCCAGGCCGCAATCTGCGAAGCGCTGAAGCCGGGCTCCGTGGCCTCCAGGGCTGGGCGCCGCTCCTCCGCAGGGCTCCAAGAGGCTGGGAAGTCACGTATGGGTTTAGGGTTTAGGATTTAGGTTTTAGGGTGTAGGATTTAGGTTTTAGGGTTTAGGATTTAGGTTTTAGGGTTTAGGATCTAGGTTTTAGGGTTTTGGACTTAGGTTTTAGGGTTTAGGATTTAGGTTTTAAGGTTTCCAACCCAAAGGGCTTAGGATTAGGGTTTAGGGTTTAGGGTTGGCTGCGAAACCCCCCAAGGGTTTAGGATTGGGGTCAGAGTTTAGGGATTAGGATTTAGGGTCTACGGTTCAGGGATTAGGGATCAGGGCTTAAGGTTTTGGGGGGGCAATGTTGGGGTACTTTAGTATGGGGACTATATACGGGTTATATAGGAATAATGGAAAAGAAAATGAAAACTACTATACTTGTAGTAGGGTGTATGTTGGGGCGATATAGGGGTTGTATAAGAATAACGGAAAAGAAAACGGAAACTACTACATTCTAATAAGGCTCATCATAAGGTATATATTGGGATTGTATCTTTATACATATATATATATGGTAGAGTTGTCAAATGAAGATGATGGAAAAGAAAACGGACAACTACTTTCATGGTGTGGGGTTTAGGGATATTATCCCCAAGAACGGAGAAGCAAATGGAAGCGTAAATGGGAAATGAAATGGAGACTGGGCTTGTATAGGGGTTGGAAAGGATAGGGTTTCCCAGAAGTAGGGTGCCATTTGGAGATCCCCAGAAAAATAAACATTTCCGCTGCTACCTGCTGATACTATGTTGGGGATGAGGGGGTGGGAAGGGTTCATGATTGTGGGGTTGGAATTCATGATTTTTTGGGGTCCTTTTTCCTCCTGGGTTTAGGGGTTATACAAGCTTCAGGGTTTGGGGTTTAGTTTAAAGGTTTACGGCTCTAGGCATTCAGGGGTTCGGGGTTTGCGGTCTGGAGGGGTTTAGGCCTTGCAGCTTGAGGTTTAGGGAACAGGGTTTAGGGTTTAGGGTTAAGGCTTCAGGGTTTAGGGTTTAGGGCTATGGGCAAATACGGATTCGAGAGTTAAGCACAGAGCAGTTAATTAAGCAGTAAGTGAGGGTTACATTGGGTCAATCCTCCACCCAGTAATGGCTACCACAAGAGTCTACTGTAGGTATATTAAAGCCCAATTAACTTCTTATCTAAGTGCTATTGCAGAAGTGGGGATTGACCTAAGGGTTACAATACATCACTGCAAGGAACCGCAACCGTACATTGATTGCAGCAACATCCCAGCGTAATGACCACTGAGAGCCCTAGACCCTAAAGCCTGAGTAGTAGTTTTCATGTAATTGTCCATCTTCTTGTCCATTTGATTCTCCATTAATTATTACTGAGGTCGTATCCTGGTATAACCCCAAAAAAACCTGTTTCAATGTCATTTGCCATGCTCTTTTTCATTTCATTCTCCATGATATAGTATCCCCAAAACCTAAACAACCCGCAAATGATAGCCCCGGTTTAATCCTTGTGTAACCCTTGTATAACCCTAACCTAACCCTTATAAAACCCCATATAATCCTCATGTCAGAAACTAACTAAAATGGTAGTCTCCCTAAATATGGGGACGCCAATTTTGACCCCAAAATACTATAACCCTTATTAAAGGGACCCCAAAAAAAGTAACCCTAATTTTGGTAAAGGGAAACGACAGCATTTCTGCAGCCAATCAAACCCTGCCCCGGCGGGCCTCTGCTGGCATCTCAAGGAAGCTCGTCAGTGAGGAGAACTTCTTCTGCCGCTTCTGCCAAAGCCTGGATCCACTGCAGCATCCTCCTTTCAACTTACTTATGGCCGGTAGGGAATGAAGAACTGGAAAAGAAAATGGAAATTACCGGATAATTCTGGATTATATGTATAGATATATAGACTATTATAAAGGTAGATTCCTTCATTGCTTGCAAACCAGAGGCAATTTGAAAGCTACTACATGGGTCATTCTTGTGAAAGGGCCGTTCCAGCTCCCATTACTCATCGTGATGAGTGTTACTGGCAGGAGGAATGACCTAAGCTACTACTGTCAGAATATGGGAAGTGTCTGCGTTTTCAGAGGCTATGGGGTGCCCCGACTCTGAAGGAAATAAATCACAGGATGCACCCTAAACCCCCAAAGCCTGAATCCAAAACTAAGGTCAACCCCAATAGCCTTGTATTATATAGGGAATACAATCCCTACATAATCCCAATATAACATATTCCCATGTTCCCTCCTAACCCCCAGTAAGAATAGCCATGTACCACAGCCATCAGCTGAGGCCACGGCTTGACCTGCTCGCTTGTGAAGTGCGGAATCCTCATGCTGGCATGCGGGTGTAGGGCTTAAATGGCTGCTCTGTAGTAGAAAGTGGGCGGATGAATCAGAGGTCTGCATCAAGGGACTTTCCAGATTTGAAACCTGCGGAAGCTTCTGCGAAATCTGCCAACCATGCAACGCACCATATGGAAGTGTTTTCCACTTGTTGTTATTTAGTAGGGAATAAGGTATATGATTCGGATATACTCCCTGTAAAATGTATTCCCGTATAAGCAAACCTGGAACTGCCAACACACCCATTTCCCTCACATCATACATACTCTTTCCTGTTCTCATGCCAGAATCTACCTGCACGTTCTGTGCTTTATCCAAACCATTATTAATCATGGGTCTACATTTAACCCTAAACCCTATATAGTAGATTCCATTTTCTTTTCCATTATCCCAATATAACCCCCACATGACCCCTATAACCCTATATATATATATATGTCTGACCATCATTGAATTCCGCCAAGGCTCTGAGAGAGCTGAGAGCCCGGTTTGCTCGCAGCCGCGGGCTCAATTGCCTCACAGTCATTGTCCCCAGCGGAGATTCAGGATGTAGAGTTTAGGATTCGAGCTTCGGGGTCAGGGCTCAGGGGAATGCATGCTTCCGTGGGCTGTTGCAGGCTGATGAGTTAAGAGTCAAGAGCGGCTGCGTCTGCAGTGGTCCTTGACACAGGATCTTGAAGCTGCAAGGAGGAACAAGGCTTCAGCAACCGCACCAAGCTGAGCTCCTGTTGGCGGCTGGTGGAAACCGGAGCAAGCCCTCCATTAAAGGCCAGGATGCAGGAAACGGTGACAACTGCAAGCATTCGGTTAGAATCATCCAACAGGCAGTGGGTGAGCTGGAAACCCATCCAAAAGATGACAAATGGAAGCCTGGGAGTGGTCCAACCACTAGGCCCAATTGAGGACAAGAAGACGCGGCGGACAATGATTAATCCCACGGCCAGGTTCAGCCTCTAAAAGATGCTATTCCAGCAAGGCATGGAATTTTGAAGTGGTCCCATCCTCTGAGGGTTGTACATACAGTACCTTGCCAAACCTGTTGGCCCAAGTAGGCCAGGGCAAGCAGGGGAGGTGAGAAGTGAGAACCTCTGAGGCCCCCAAAGGAGGCCTCAGGGTAGACACCACCTACAGGGTGGAGTTCCACCGACTGCCCACGTTGGGCTGCCCAAGAGGGGCAAAGAAAAAACAAGGGCTAAGAGGTGGATAGAGTAGAAACAGAAGCGCTGACAGGAGAACCTAGAGAGTTTAGTCCTAGATGCTCCAATTCGCTTGGAGGTTACGCGGGTGGCTGACCTGAAATGTAAGCCCTTGTACGTCTCCCTCTTTTTGTAATTGGGGGACCATGTCAATTCCTGATGTGGAAGCTGCTGTCGACAGTGGGCAATTTGGAGACACGTGCTGTAATCGCTTGTCAAGGTCTGAAAGCCACGCTGAAACAATTTCTGACGAAAGGGGTCAATGGGCTTCCATGTTTAGCGAGGAACCAGTGCTTGTTGGGCTTTATTCCAGTGGACTCGTTTGCCTGCGAGTTGCAAGACCACTCCTGGATATCCTAGCTTGAAACTCTTGCTTGAAGCAGCGCACATCAACTTCCCCGAGGCGAGTTTGATCGAGTTTCCATCGATGTGGTGCTTTTTGAAGCTTGCGAGGAAAGATGTTTGGAGAAACGCGTATGGCGGCTTGCTCGTATAGGATCCTTCCAGCACCCCCCAGAATCCTTTTGCAATACCCTTGTGTCCCTGGGGAAGCCCCCAACCCTCGTGTCCCTGAACCCTCGACCCGGTAGATAGAAAGATATACAGACATACCTAGATAATTTGCGGTCATGGTTAGTTAGTGTATGTATATGTGTATTTATATATATATATATATGTACCCATGCCTTTCACCTCTTTGAAGCTAGCCGGACTGACAACACAAGGCACAAGGCCTGCACGAGGCCCCGGTGAAATTCCAGGCAGCTGCCAGCGCTGTCCGCCTGACCTCAGCTGAGGGACCTAGTGAATGAGTGGATTATATGGGGGTATGTGGGATTCCTGCACAGAGCTTGTAGAAAGATTCTATAGTGTCTATGTAGGTATATCCAGGGTCCCTGTAAAGTGGGCTATGTACGGATTCTATTGTGGCTATGTAAGGAAATCCAGGGTCTCTGCAAAGGGGTGTAGGTTGAGAGGGGCTATGGGGATTATAAAGTGGTCCTTTAAGGACATTTAGGCTCATGTAGGGATATTCAGGGTAGCTGTAAAGGGGCTATATCAGGATCATCTAGCGCTTGTGTAGGGATATGCAAGGTCCCTTTAAAGGGGTTGTAGGGATTGCATAGGGGTTCTATAGGGGCAGTTAGGGCTCCTCTAGGGAAATATGGTCCTTCCATAAAATTATTACCCCAATAATTGAGCATCGGATGCAAAGAACAAGTAGAATGAAATGGCAACCGGGATGATCTAGGGATCCAGAGTTTTAGGGGCTAGGAAGCAGATTACAAAACAGGAGTGTTATGTATACTAGTAGTTACAGTTGTGAGGGACTATGGGACATTACCTTCTAAAAGTTGGGTTTTCCCTACCTGTTCTTTGAGGCTAGTTCTCGGGATTAACTAGCACGATTTAGGGGATGCATAGGGATGTTTGGGGATGATATATAGCAACAATTCGTGGCGTGTAGTATAGCGGCTATTTGCGGAGCCACAGAATTGCGAATGGATTCTGTAGGGATGGATTTTTGCGCTTGTACGAATTGCATGGCCATCTTACGTGAATTGGTTTTTCTAGTGCTTTTGCACGTAAACTGCTACCCCACTACCCGCAAACACCCTTGCATGCATGGTCAGCTTAAAGTGACCAAAGAAGTAATCGAAGGGGTCTCGTTTTCGTGATAGCAGTGGCATTCCATAGCAAGAGCAGGCGGAGTCACAGCAGCAGTGGTGACAGCTGAGGTTGTGGTAGCTGGGATGTCAGGAGGACTTGCAGGAGGACGAACGGGAAGAGGAAGACGAGGAGGAAGAGGAGGAGGGTCACCAGGAGCGGGCAGCAGCAACAGCACGAGCATCATCATTATAGTCAGCAGAAGCGATGCACATGGATTTAGTAGAAGAAGGATCAGGATATCAGAGGTTGGGAGTTGCTGCTTCATCATTTGCTGGCGGCGATCGGAATTGAAGAAGACAGGTACTGCAGCAGGAGAAAGAGCAGCAAGAGCAATTGTGGCGCAGCAAAGACCGCGGCCTTGCGAAGCAGCTTCTTGAAGAAGAAATCTGCAGGCCACCTGACATGTTGAGGCAAGAATGACCAACAAGGCAAGCTCCACTGACATCAGCAGCGCATTGGATGTGTTTGATTCGCAAAAGCACTTGAAGAGTATGGTTAGCTGTGATAGGAGCACCCCATCAGAAAGAACCCCTCGTTTCGGAAAGTTCAACACCTCTGCGAACGTGCCTGCCATTGCTTTAGGGCAGCATCCAGTTCGCTGGCGCGCTCCCGCAGAAGGTCGGTTCGCCGGAGGATGTGCCCCCAAAAAAGTGCCTCCTGACAAGTATTTTGTGTTAGTCAGCACTCTTGTGTGGTGTTAGCCTGGCCATGACTACAGACTTGCCACATTCTCCTCTCCGTTTGAAACATTGCAGAACATCGCACACTGTGATACATAGTGTCTGCGCTTTTGCAGGTGTTTGTCCAGAGTGAGGTCCGGTTTGGGGTGCCCCATTATAATGGGGGCCCAAAAAGGTACCTTAATCTAAAAACCTACCATATGGTGACAAGTACCTGCTAAGGGATCCAAAATAAAACCTCCCTGTAGTCTAGGTTCCCCAATTTTGGGGGGATTCCATTTTTTGGATCCTTCAGGGGGTCTGGGAAGGAGACCATGAACTTTTCTGACAGGGTCTAGAGTTTAGGGTTTAGGGTTAAGGCTTTTCTGAAAAGTCCAAGCAACTGCTCGCTGCAGAGCCATAGCGTTCTCGGCCTGCCATAGCAAAAGCAATCTGGGGATGTCCAAGAGGTGAGGGTATATGGGGGCTTCCCAGGGGTTATTATTGGGTCTATCCCTTAACCAGTAATGGGTATCAGAAGGGACTATTGTAGGTATATCAAGGCCCCGTAAATCCTACTTAAGGAGCTAGTACTATAGGGGGGGATTGACCTAACGTCTATCCTAAAAGTGAGGGGATATATAAGACTAAGCCTATAGTGAGGGGACGTATACGGCTAAGCTCCAATCATGAACAAACACAATGGTAAATGGGAACCGGGAGATTCAAGGCTTTTTATGGGAGTCCCCAAAGTACACTTTACAGCATCTTTGGGTTTTTATTGCGACCCCGAAACCCTGAATCCAAAACATCCCTCAACCTCAACCCTTCATTTTTTGGAACATGTGAGCGTAGCAAAGGGAACAAA